TGTGTGACTGGACAATGGTAACACTCCTCTCGTTCAGTTACTATTGTTTATTTCCAAACTCTGTTCTCGTAAACTACAAATATTGTATCTTTTTCCTTTTCCTTCTTGTTAACTCCCCCTCACCCTCTCCCCCCCTGCCCCTCCTCCTATATATCGATCCTATTGTTTCCTGTTCCATCATAAGGCGGACATGTTATTCACGAGACATACACATATCGAATTGTTCATCGTTTACACTTACATACGCTCTCTACAAACTACTCGATTTGTTCCTTTCTCTCTCTCCCTTTCACGCTTCCTGGCTTTCTCTCCCTCTCTCTCGCTCCCCCTACCGTTTCTTTATATCTTCGTCGTATTTTTTTTTTTCTGGCTTTTCGTAAGACTTTTCGTACAAAACAAAATGGCATCTTTTTGGCATTGGAAGAAAAAATACATTTTTCAACTTTCTCTTACTCGCCTCGCTCTTTATTTCAATCGTAAACTTCTTAGTTCTCTCTTTCCCACTTTTTCCCCCATCCTCACTAATAGTAGTATTATTACTTTAAAAAGTGATCTTTCACCCTTACGTACTTTAGCATTGATAGTTTTAGTTTTACAGCCCACCGAAAGGTGCGCGTATCACCTGGAATCTGCGATTCTTATATTTCGAAACGTTGAGCGATACGTCTGCAATTGACTGGCGCGCGTCCGCCATTTTTAATTAGGCGCCCCTCGGATTTATAATGAGCACTTTTTTTTTACACGTCATTCGACCCTACGGCGATAGATATTACAGTTGGATAAATCGAAAAATTGTTAATACTTCAATTCGTGGCTTTGATTTCCACATTTAGCGGTTCCGTCCACCCAACTCAAAATGGCGGCGGAAGGGCGCAGCTTTTCTTTGTGCACATTCCCGGTGTACGCGAACAATTCGATGTTACAGTCGTTACGATGTACCTCAATTATTACCTTTAACTCTATTTTGGCATCGTCGCGATAATTTCCATGGAGTTCTTTCTTTTTTTTTTTTCTTCCCTTCGTACACTTTTCTATTTCCCTTAGATACAAAAATGGCGCGAGCGCGCGTCCTCACCTTCCTCGATTTCGAAGAATCGCCGATTGATTAGGAATTAAGCCAGATTTGTTTATGCCGAATTGGGTGTTTCAATGAAGAGTTCGAATAATGCTCTCGTCGTTTCGTGTGGGTAGTGCTTTTATTTCCATTCCAATTAGTCTAACTTTTTGGTGCAAAGCGGAACGGGAACGCGCTTTGCTTTTTTTGCGGATTTGGAATTCTTTGACAAAGTGGGAACATCTTTGAGTTCGTCCAATTTTTTCCTTTCTTTTCTTTCCTTTTCTTTTTTATTCGTGTGATATCCCGTGAGGACGCGTTCTCGCGGTGATTGCCCCTCGAAAAGATCGTCAACATCGCACTCGAGAATTTAATTCGTTTTCTTTTTCTTCGTCGAAACCACACGCGATGTTTGTGCTTATTCGAGAGCCTAATATCAGCCCGGCGTGATCTTGAATTCGTGTAGTTTTTGAAGCGCGAGGTAAAATCAAAATGCGTCTAGTGAAGTTCGATAATCAAGTGTCCCTAAGTCGAGTCGAGTGCCAGGAAGGAGAGAAATTGTATTAAAAACGTGTACAACGATAAATGATCTCTAAAAGGGAGGCAAAAAGTCGATATCAGGGTATAACATTTCTTCCCTCATTTCGGTTTCACCAATCTCTCGTGTATATAATCAAAATATGATTGCTTCTTCAATAATCGTTCGTTCAGTCGTCTCCTTAATTATCTGGACATTCCCCCGAGCACTCGTTATCGACCTCGGGATCGAAAACAGCCCTCGCGTTAAAAAGAGTCTGGAAAAAGCGGTCTAAAAAAGTCTAAAAAGACTCGCACGACCGAATACGTGTCGCACGGTGAGCAAATTTTCGAGGCGGTCCGTCAGCGTACTTCTTTTTTCTTTTTCTTGTTTTCCTATCTCGCAGGGTGCTTTTTCGAGCCTGCCGGAGTGTCCGAGTATTATCAGAATTCCGAAAAATCTCTGTCCGTCCTTATACGATCGACTTAATTACGAAATGAAGAGCGATGAACTTCTAGCTTAGAGAGAATTTCGAATAGTCTAGGATTCCACGGGGTAAACGCTGAGGCTTTCGGATATCGATTCGCGTCCTCGTTTCCTGCACGGCAAATTAATTAGTGTAAACCTTGTCTAAAGAGTAAATCGCGTATCGGCACGTCGGAAAATCCGGCGTATCCTCCGACACGATCGCTCGACTTTCCCCTCCGGCTCTCTAAATCGAAAAACGATACACCCCCTCAGCAAAATGAATTCCTTTCTTCCCGTTGAAGGTCCCTATGCGGTTATTTTTCTTCTACGCGGGACCGCGGGTAAATAAATAAAGATATGGAAAAGATCTACGCGCGGCAGAAAACGAGCGGAGGAATCAAAATGGCGGCGCCAGAGAAAGCTTAAACTCTCTGCCGCGAAGTGTTCGGTCGCGCCCAGTGTATAGCCCGCTAAAAGTATATTAGCACTACAGTAACACTTCGTCAAACTTAATTAATAAATAATCAATTAAATTAGGTTATTATATTACTAATCGTTACATGCGATAATAATGAATGATAATATATTAATGATTCTTATAATACTCCGGGGCGTCGCGCGGGCCGCCGCGGTGGCGCTAGCGTCGCTTTCTCCCTAGGATGGCGAGCCCGGCCCCACGATTCGAGATGTGAATCAAAGAAAAGGTCTCAAAAAAGGTAAAGAAAGGAAAACAGAGAAACAAGGAGAAGAGCAGAACTTCCACAATCGACACTAAACCTCTAATGACCGTACGTGCTAAGTCTAAGGATCGTTCGACAACCGCCCAAGGAGTCACGCCTTTCTTTTCATTTCTTTCACCTAGGATCGCAAAAGGAACGGTGACGGATAATAAATAAATTAACTTTCCGAGACTTTTGCATGCATCCCAATTGAATTCGAGGCTTGGTACGTCCGCAGGACATCAAGGACTGCAACTATGAACATCCTGAAGACGTACCGGCCCTCTCGACAAATCGTGCACTCATTCTGCGGTGGAAATCGAAAGCTCGGGATGATCTTGCCTTGTATTCATCTTCGGATGCTCAAAAGAAGAAACAGAAAAAGCGGCGAACGAAAAGATCCCCCGGAAATAGAGGGGGTAATATGTACAAGAATTCAAATCATACAAATCTCCGTACAGCACGATACGTTCTTCCCGATGATTAGAGCGACCCTTCGGTGGACGTCGCGAAATGTCGCATCTCCCTACTAGTTATGTACAATTTTTTTTTTCTCATTTTCTGTACACGCGGAAGTGCACTCTCAGCACATCCGCCATTTTGGGCGCACCGAGTGCACGGACGACAGTCGTTACCAAGATTGCAGTTAATTGATTTAACAAGGACCCTTCCGTCCGCGCACTTAATAAATGTATAATCATAAATTTGATAATCTTCATAATCAAACTACGGGCGGTTGTAAAAATAGCCCGATCAAAAGTCGATTGAGTATATCTACCGAAACAAAACGCGTTTCAATGGTCGGTACATGCGGCTTGTAAATCCGCGTTAAAAGCCGCGCAAAAATGTATATTGAGTCTGTCTAAACGTATCGTGTTGCACGGTCTAGTGTTTTCACCTCGAAAATATTTTTCCCTCCCGTTGACGCGCTGGGGTCGCCGACGAGCGCGCGCGGTTGGTCGTTTCCGGTGGAGATTGGCTCGGCTCCAACGGAAAGGACCAATCGGGCGCGCTCGGCGGGGACACGCCTACAGCGGGGCACGTAGGGTGCAGTTCCCGTTTCTTCTCTTCTCGTCTCGCGGCTACGGTAGCGCCCCTGGCGCGCCTTTTGCGAAGCTCGGAAGGACCGACGCGCCGCGCGGCCGTCCCGAAAACTTCCGGGAAGTTCTCCGGACGTTTCCCGCGAGACGCGGGGTTCCCTGAATCTCTCGCTCGTCTAAAATGCGTCTCATCCTTGCGCTTAGGATTGTTAGGAGAAAATGCTTTGTACTCAGTCGCCTCGTAGCGAGTGGTTAGTAATCCGTGTGCCTAAGCATACTTAGTACATAGTTAGTGCGGATGTGTGCATAGAAATAAATACGAGCATAATAACAAGCGCAATGTACAAAGGCTATAAAATAAGGTGTCGACCACCACGTAATTAATAAAAACTTGAGATCATTTTCGTTATGTGGTTTTTTTTTTTTCCTTTTTCCCTCGCCATCCCTTTCGCGGTATCCCCGTAGAAGATGCGCTCTGTTGTGCGGTGGCTGTACGCGAAGGGAGCGTCCAAACTAACCTAAAAACGCTCGAGAACAACGCCGGAGACGCTTCCGGCGACTCGGCTCCCCTCCCTAACGATTCTACATGCATATACGTGCAAAGATGTGTCACGCAATCGGCGTGGCGCGCGCGTTATCCGAGTGTCGTGTGTGTGGGAGTTCGAATGTCACGTGTGTCACGTGTGTATGCGTGTGCAAAAGTGCGCCACTCTTTGGCCCCTCAGCCGCCACGGTACTTACGCGACCCTCACCATGGAGTGCGTAACATAACCTCCTCCACCGTACGCGAAGTTACATCTCGGAGGTCGCCCTCCGGCATTCGCTTAACTCCCGTCGGTTTACTCCGTGCAGTTGCGGCGGCAACGCGGGAAATTAACATTACCGGTGAATAGCAATTAGATACGTACCAACCCTGCCGGCGCGTAAACTAAGTTTACACGTTGGCCGCGTCGTTAATATTTATACTAATCGTAAGTCATAAGTTGATCGCGCGTTACGTAGTCGTTACATAACGCGCCAGACGGCATGCAACTGCGTAACGTTAAGAACTAAATATACCAATAGCACGTAGCAACGACGGCGTCACCGGGTCTAGGAAGTGCTCGCGCAGCGCCGAGAGTCGCTGCAGACTGACGTCACGGAGGGACTCGGCTCGCGTCACGGCGCAGCGACTCTCGGCGCCGAGCCGCGAGACCGCAAGCTCTCCGCGGCATAATTATCAATCGCGTTACGTAACGTAACGCGAGCGTAGTGGCTTAATGGTGTGACGGCTGAACCCTCCCCCCGTGTGTGTACGAGTGCCCCGTGCGTGTACGTGTCTCACCTGGGCCATGGACTAGCTAATAAGATTACAGTGCTACCAACACGAAACGTTATTACTTAAAGTGTACAGTCAATACGCGTTTAAATCTACATCGTATCAAAGTCCTTGCTACGGTAAGACGTAGCGGACCCCGAGCGCGGGGGTGCCGGAGGGTCCCTGAAAGCCCTCCGGAAGATCCGCGCCCCTCCCGCTGTCGTTCTCCTGCTTCATGCAGTTTCCCTCTCGTTCGGTTGCGATTTTTTATCCGGCCTCCTACCGTCTCCGGGTCGGTTTCCCTCCCCCCAGTCGCCGTGCCCGACGTCAGCCTACCGCCTATCTTACCGCGGCCTAACAAAAGATCCGTATAAAAAGGGAAGCCCCGAATAAACTGGGTCCGCTCGGGCTAAAATCCACCGAGGTGGATGCGTTCCGTCGAGTCGGTGTCGATCCTCGTTTTCCACGTTTCGTTTCTCCTCCCCTGGTCTACCCCGGATATAAACGGCACAACGCGTGGCGTAGAAAAATGGCAGTGCGACTTTCTTGCTTCGTCAAACTCGCGTACTACTTATTTAAGGATGTGTAAATCTAGGAACGGCCTCCCTCGCGGCCGGGGATTGGTCGGCGGGCGAAAGAAGTGGAGGAGAGTCCCCGTTCGAGATTGGTCCGGCGAGGTGGCGGAGATGGGGCTCGAGGTCGGCTTCTCGGACCTCGATCCCCGGTCCAGGTCCGGCGCGTCCGCTTCCGCGGACGTCCACTCGCTAGGCGAGGTCGGCCTTCACCCGGTCCCCGCCTCGCGTGCACGCTGCGTGTCCGACGATTCCCAGTCATCGCTGACCGGAACCTGACCGTCCGGTCGCGACTCATCCGATGGCCCCGCCCTCCTGGTAGGGGCCGGTTATCATGCAGGGGTGCATCGGGAACAGGGTGGTCCACGTCATGGTGGTGTACGTGGGCGACCTCATCATGAACTGCGAGCTGGGGGCGTTGGGGACGTGCGACAGTTGGGGCGGTTTGTCGGCGCTGGACGACGCGCCGGGGCTGCTGGGGGTGGCCGGAGTGGTCTGCGAGCTACTCGGAGTGACCCCCAGCTTCCGCAGGCGCATCTTCTCCTCCCACTCGTCCCAGCCGTGTCTGGGTCGGTTCAGGTTACGGTGCTGATAGAAGACCAGGCTGATCCTGGTCGGGCTCAGCCGGTTGGGCTTGCGCAGAGCCGTCGTCGCGTGCATCTCGTGCTTGGCGCACTCGAAGAGCACGCTACCGTGCCCCAGGGCGATCGCCACGCCGCCCATCTGAGAGTCCTTGAAGCACTCCTCGTTGTCCGAGTAGTCGGTCACCTCCCCTAGCGGCTCGGCCTTAGGCGGTGGCTCTGGGATAACTGGAAAGTAAGATGGCGCTCCGTAAATGTCCCACCTGGGCCCGTCCCACCTTGCCCAGCCTGGATTTACGCCTTGATAAGGCCCTGCCATACCCTGATACGGATACTGAGGAGAGTGGAAGCACGGCTCGCGCTTCGGCTGCTGGTACAACTGCGACGCGTATTCCGGGCTCTGGGGATACGGCTGGTGGTGCAAGTTGTACCCCTCCCAGCTGTTCGGGTAGGGCTTCTCGAACACCGGGTACGCGGGATAGCCGTACGGTGGGAACGCGTGGTGTCCCAGGCCCGACATCGTGTGGAAGTCCTGCACCTGCTTCATCTCCTCGGCCCAAGCTAAACAGCTGGGATTCGAGGTTGGAATCTCCTGCCGAGCGTTGTGGAAACCCTCTCGCAGCTTCGCCTCGGCCCACTCTGGCCTCTTCTGGGTGTTGGTACCTACGGGATAGTTGCTCTTCATGCCGTTTCCCAGACCCTCGTGGTATGGACTGGCCTTCGCTGGTTCTTGAGGCTTCAGGAAGGTCTTCGCCAAGTTGTTTTGGAAGGTGTTCGACTCCGGGAGGTTCTGGTTGGGAGCTGTTCTCGAGGGCGGTCTTCCCTTGGGCACTCGGAATGGCGATGGCTCGGAAGTGTCCCAGCAGACATTTTTCGCCTGCTCGGTGTTTGGATGCCGGTCGGCCCATGATGGAGTTTTGGGCTGATCCACGTGGGAATGCATTCTATCCTGTCCATTCTGAGACTTCATAGTATCCGTACCCCATGTATGCAATGGATTCCAGTTGACCGTACACCCTGTAGCAGGTTGTTCGGACGGTACCGGGGAGTAGTAATTAGGACCGGACGTCTTCGGGTCGAGGGGTCGTTGAAGGCGATTCGTGAACCTCTTCTGATCGGTTATACCCACGAAACCCTGACTTTCAATCTGCTGACCATGATGATGCTGGTCACCCAGATGGAGCGACCCGTGTAGCGGGAAGTCAGAGTTTGGCGCTCCGAAACCTTTGTGACCGTTTCCGTCCATGCACGATGTTGCAGACATGGGAGGATACAGATCCGCTGGATTAGGATCGACGGATTGATTCGGATAATTAGGACTCCTGGTAGTTTGCAGCACAGCCTGGGGGGCGTATTGCTGCTGCATCCTGGCTGCTAGATGTTGCTCCATCTGCGACTTCGGCGAGGTCAACTTCATCGAGTTCTGCATCTCCAAATAGTTTTGCGGTAAATTTCCCGGATACCGGTGTTGATTCGAGAACTTCGAGTATCCGTCCATACAGTTTTGCGGGATATTCCTGTGCAGTCCTGGGGACTGATTCCTATGTAGATCCTCCGAAGAGTTCGACGTCATGTGATGGCCTATTCTAGGTGACGCGTTTCTTTGTACTGCATCCAGGTGAGAAGACGAGGAATGAAGGTAACCACCCACTCTAGGAGATATGCTAGATTGTCTGTTGTCAAATGCGTTTTGACAGTTTCTGGACGGCGACGCGAGACCGTACCCTGCATCCGGTGTCCCAGGGTAACCCGAGCTTCTGGGCGACACGATTTTCTGGTCCTGAGGAGTCTGAGAACAGCCTCTAGGGGAGGCTGCGTACGAAGCTTCTCCCGGAGTGCTCGGATGGAAACTTCTAGGCGAAACTGGGTGTCCTCTTGGCGAATGGGCGTAGCTTCCCCTGGGAGACTCCACGGTGGAATTTGGTAGATTTCGGGATCCTGGCCTGAGGTCTTCCTGTGAAAGTGCACTTCTGGGTCTTATGTCGTCCAAACTCGTGCTGTCCGGGTCTACTTTGACGTCCCTCTCCAGCCCACCGAAAGCGTACTCGTTCCAAGGATTTAACCAGTTGTTCTTCCTCTGATCCAACCAACCGCTCCGGCCCCACTGCTGCTCGCCTTGATAACCCCAACCCTGATACATCGAAACTGGACTGTCCAGAACCGTGGAGGATACCTGAGAACTCTGCAACTGTGCGTCCATTCCCTCGAACATGGAAGCCATTTCTACGGTTAATTGCGACTCTCGTCCTGGCGTCCTGGATGGATCCTGGTGCCCTGGCGTTCTACTGGGCTCGATCATTTTTTCTGGGGTACCCTTTCCCAAGTCCTTTTTGCTGCTAGCTATATCCGGCTCGTCTTCTTTTCTCTTCTTCCCGTGGCGTCTGCAGGGCTGGAGCGGTACCGAACGTACTCTCACCTCGCAAGGATATCTGGAAAAAGCGTTTGGTCACATCGAGCGAGGTTCGGAAATACTCTAATCGGGAATATTGACGAAGGAATACGTACTTTGTTAAAACTTCGACAGCACCCGACCGAACCTTCTCTTGCTGGCCTTCTTTCGACCCATACTCGTCCGTATCGTCCATAATATACAGAGGTAGAACGTGCAATTGTTCGTCTTCAGGCTTGGTCAGCAACCGATGCTTCGTCAGGCTTACCACCTAGTGGAAAATATTTTCTTGAGCTAACGGGTTGTTAAAAGGATCTGGAAAAATATTTTAATTTCCAGGAACTTACCACTGTGCAGCCGTTGTTCATATTATGGAGGTCCCTGTGAGAATGAGCGCAGAAATCGATGCAAGCAGTGACTCCGGAAAAAGGTCTGCCCGGTTTGAACCCCAATCGACACTCGCTGGCTTCACGTTCGAATTGGGTCTGATTGTTGAAAGCTTCTGGTGCAAGGCTCAAGTAGAGGGGGGACAAAAGGGTCGCTAAAACGTGCATTCGTTCTTCTACCTCTTGTTCCTGAAACATAACGCCGCCATCAATGACCAAACGCTTCGACTACAAACAGTTTAGCAAGAGATCCTTCATCTTCACCTGTTCCTTCGTTCAAAGGTTTTAAGGCAAACAAGCTCTAAATCTCACCTCGGATCTCACCGAAAGCCGAAATTTCCTGACGGTCTTGCTTCTGGCGTATTTGCATCCATTGTAGTACATCGACCAGGAACAACCGAAGGAGAAGCTGGCTCCACAAGAGTCGGGATCGAGTCCTTGGCAGGCGCACGTCCTCGGCTCGTTGGTACCGCATCTCCTCGTCGTCGGCAAGCCGAAACGATTGAGTTTATGACTCAACAAAGAATATATCCGATCAGCCTCGTGTGTTGGTACCCCTTCCCATGCGACCATCGCAACAACGATCCACGCCGTGGCGCATTTGTGTCCCTGGCGGTGTTTCACCACGGCAAGGATTTTCTCATCAACTCCTGAACGACGAATCACCTGAAACACGGATTCCGGGTGTTACTTTAAACCAAAACCTTTCCCCTTCGCCGAAAGTGAAGGGAGACCTCCCAAAACCGAGCACCCAATCTGCCTTGGATTAACAATGAAATTTTCTACATTTTGGGAGATCCCACTTCTAGGTCTCGATTCCTTCCACAATGACCTACCCACTTGGCCAAGGGACATCCTTGCGTGGTCTTCCCCTCCTTTCCGGTATACACGACTTTCTCGAACCTAATGGCATTCCCTTTCAGTCCGGTTCTCCTCTCGAGGTCTTTCCTGAGTTCCAACAAGTTGGCAGCCGTTCCAAGATGCGTGTAGTACGACCCTGGCTCCGGTGGACCTTATCATTGAACTTGATTTTATTTACAAGATTCTCCTAGCGAAAGTATCAGTAATATTAGCAGACTCGCTGAGCCGCGAGGGTTCGTTTAGTCAGAGCCTACGCGTCATCCTCAACGATCAGGATATTCTCGACTTCCCTCTACCGTTCGCCGTGTCACGTCAGAGTGGTCCCGGACTGGTTAGTGTGTTTTCTCAATGTTAGTGTCGTGCTGTATACGCAGTGGCAACTCACATTTGTCAGCGGGGAAGCAGTTGCAGTCGGGCACTTCGGTCCTGACATTGTTCTTCAGCTTATCCAGATGATCCTGAAGTTTAGATTGGGTCTGCGTGGTCCCTCGTGGGCTGTTGGGACCTTCGTTCTTCGCGTCCGGGTTGTTCTTTTGAGGAGGATCGGCCAAGATCTCGTCTCTGGTTTGCAACCCTTGGCAGCAACCCTCCTTCAGATGTTCCGGAGTCGGTTGCTCGGTTCCACCTCGACGACAGCACCAGGAACCAACGCTTGGTGAGACCTTGGCAGGACCTCCGTCACCCCTGAATATGTAGCTTGCTGTCGTTTCTGGGCGCTGATCGGGTTCGATCTTTACTACCTTCGACAGGTTGTCATCCTCCTGCGGGATACCAGCTGACTCGTTACTTCCCGGCTCCGAACAGGCGTACTCGGCGGTCTCTTGCTTGATGACTTGCTCGGAGTCGAACTTCTCTTCTTGATTCTCGGTAGGTGTCGGAAACCTTGGCGAAGCTTTATCCCCGGTCTCGGAGACGAAGGCGTCTTCTTGCTCCTTCTCGAGAGCGTACGACTCGCTCTGCCCCTCGCTCGTGCACGTCTCATTTGTCTCCGTGCTTTTAACTTCGGTGGTGGACTTTGGAAAGCCGATCTCTTCTTCCTTCTCGCAGCCGTTCCGTTCCTCGGTACCGCTGATTCCGCTTGGAGTTTTCTGTGACTCCTGAAAAGCTGCATCGTCGTTTTCCGGAAGACTGAATCTCTGTTGAAACGACTTGTCATCGGTGTTCTGCTCCTCGACAGACTTGGGACTCCTCCACTGTCGCTGTCGTTCTCGATGATCCGTCTGATCTCTCTGTTGCTGTTGCTGCTGCTTCTGACAAGGTCTTCCTAACGCGGACTTATCTTCCGTTGCAAACTTCATAAAATTCTCAATAGCCGTTATTCCAGTTTCGGGTAAAATATTACCGTTGCTGAGACCGTTTATAGTATTCCCTCCTCCCGTCCATTCCCATAAGCCACCACCGTCGGGCAAACTATTGGCCCGATGGTGGTGGCTATGCAATAAAAAATTACCGGTCATGGATTCGTTGCTTTGTCCCATGGACATCATCCCCGACTGACTAAGGTATTGTTCCGTTCGTTTTTCTTGGAGTTTCTCCGCGTTTTCGTGGGACTCTCGTATCCTGTCGTCAGTAGGGAATTCACCATTGGGCCCACTGCTTCCGTTGGGATGCTGGGACTGAATTTGATGGTGCATTTGATGATGCTGTTGTTCCTGATGACTTATTTGATGTTGTTGCTGCATTTGTTGATGTTGCAACTGCTGCTGCTGCTGCTGCTGTTGTTGTTGTTGCTGCTGCTGCTGCTGTTGGTGCTGCTGCTGTTGTTGCTGCTGCTGTTGTTGTTGTTGCTGCTGCTGTTGTTGTTGTTGCTGCTGCTGCTGCTGCTGCTGTTGCTTATTCAGGATCATCGTTTTTAATCGACTATTCAAATTTACTCTACTCGACTGAGAATACATATTGTTATCCTGAGACTCTTGACTCTCGGGGTAGCCATTTTGCTTGCTACTCTCAGTGCTCTGTTGCTGCCACATGATTCTCTCCCCAGAATTTTGAATATCTTGTTTCGAGGTCTGTTGACCCCAACCAGGCTGATTGTTCTCAGACCCTGAGCTTGGAGACCAGCTCATTTGGTTGTCCAGTTGTTTGCTTTCCTGACTGGACTGGGTTTGCCAGGCCCCCGGCTGGTGACTCGGAGTCCTTCTCGGACTTGGCTGGGAATCCGGCCACTGTTGCTGAGGTTGCTGACTCCCGTCGCTTTTCATGCTACCTGGAGACCAATTCGGTTGACTAGTAGGCGTGTCCGGCCAGGACATCTGATTAGAAGGCGTCAGTCTCGGGTTCTGCTCGATCTTGGTCTGCTGCGACCACTGTTGTTGTTGCTGCTGCTGTTGTTGCTGTTGCGATTGCATCTGCTGTGCGGACGGGGTTAGTCGCTGATTCTGTTGAGAGTTCTGCTGACCCTGAATCTCCGAACCACTTTGCTGCCAGTTATGTTGCTGTCCGGACGGTGTCATTCTCGAGTTCTGTTGGGCACCCTGATGGTCTTGCAGTTTTGGCGAATGCTGGGGCCAACCCTGTTGAGCCTGTTGCTGGGAGGAAGGTGTCAACCGCGAGTTCTGACCGTCCCTTAATTTCGGACTCTGCTGAGGCCACGTTCCCTGAGACTGCTGCTGCTGCGATTGCTGTTGCTGCGACTGCGTTTGTTGTTGGCTCTCGGCAGGGTCCGACCATGACTGCGGCGTCTGAGGCTCCTTGACACTTCCGTTCTCCCAGCTCATGTGACTAGCCGGTCTTGGCAATTCCTGCTGGGCTTGTAGCTGCGCTACTTGCTGCTCGTTCTGTTGCTTCAAGCTGTTCTGCAGGCTTTGCTGCTGACTCTGCAGTTGCTGCTGTTGCTGCTGCTGAGAGTTCTGCTGTTGGGACTGAAGCTGCTGTTGTTGAGCCTGCTGTTGCAAGGTGTTGTCCGTCCACGTCATTCCGTTAACACTAGACATCTTCGCGTTGCTAGTGGTATCGGACCACACGTGACGCTGACTCGCATCCGATACCTGCCGCTGCAGCTGTTGCTGTTGTTGCTGCTGGGCTACCTGCGACTGCTGCCACTGATTCTGTGCTTGCTGCTGACCCATCTCCACGTAGCCTGGATATCCGTTAGAGCTGTGTAAACTCTGTGGGCCCGGTTGAAGTGGATACCCAGGCATCTCGTTTCCCGACACGTTGGTCGCTGCGATCGTGGCGAAACCCTTCACCTGCGTGTCCGTAGGGGGCTGTTGCTGGCCTTGCTGGTTCCCCTGCTGGGACGTCTGCTGTTGCTGCACGTCCATGTGGACCGAGCTGCTCCGACTCGTGGGCGTCGTAGAAGGCGGCGGAGCCATCGTCACATCCTGAAAAGAGGATCATTCGATCTGTAACTTAAAACCGATCGACCATTTAATCGTACCGTCAGCTTCCTCGACAAAGAAGAACCTGCCAGCGGCGTAGCCAGGAGTTCCTACCTCGAGCTAATCTCACATTTAATCCACCAACACCACAGGGGCGTCTCTCGGGCCTCGATTTTCTCGTTTCAACGGGACCTGGCCATCGTCCAGGCTACGCCGCCGGACGATGATTGCGCGGTGCAAAACCGTGTCTCACCTGCTGCTGATATCCATTGACATACTCCTGCCTCTCGTAGCCAACCGGCTGACCAGCGGTCACCGCTGGATCCATAAATTGGCCATTGAGAGGCCTTTGAGGTGTCGCGGCCCCCGTTTGCGGCGCCACCGGCGTCAGAGGCGACGGCTGTCCAGTAATTGTGTATTGTCCCGCGCTCCCAGCACGCTGGAACGCCGACTGGTCCGTCGTTATAAAGGCCTGCTGCTGATACGTGACTGCAAATATCGAGGCACCGATTACATCCTGCACTCTCCGCCAATATGTACCCATCTCAGCACCCTAGACTCACCAGGCTGGGGATGGTAAGGCGTCGCGGCGCTGTACTGGCTGTGGTACCTCAGCTCGTCCAGCTGATTCGGGGCAGGAATCTGCTGAATGAATTGCTGAGGGGGCCAGGCCGCCGGCGTGGTCTCCACCGTGACCGCACCCACGGGACCCACGCCCTGGTGCCACACCGTGTTCCCGAATCCCGCGGCTGGTCGGAAGCCAGCACCACTGTCGCCGTAGAAAGGCATCACTCCTGGTGACTGTGGACAGACAAGAGTTCCATAAATGTCGAATCCCATCTATTCGTCAAATTATCGAGAAATAACGTTTCAACCCCCTACGGATTCAAGAGCAAGAGGAACAAAGCCTTCGGCGGAACGTCCGGTTTACCTCGCTCGAGCTCCAGGGCCGAGCTTAATGCCCGGAGCAGGAGGAAAACCGTGAAAAGCGCCGTGAAAATTTATGGCTGTCCGCCACGTGAAAGGGCGCCTTTCACGGGTGTAATATGTGCACCGGGAGAACCGCGGTGGTCCGGCGCCACCGTCCTCGCGGGGCATTCAGAAATCGCGCATACGTGCATCGTGTACACGCAACTCGACGTACAAGTATTGCGGGTACACTCGCGACCTGGGACAATAAGTGATAACGCGACGTGGCGAGGTTTGCACATTTGCGTCGAACCAGCGTCCCCGCGTATTAGGCCGGATCTGGTTCGGGAAAAGGTGCATCGACCTCGGCGCAAGAAGGCGTCTCTCGTTCCGCAAGATGGCGGCCTCCTCCGGAGAGGTAAATGAAAACGCATGCTCTCCCCTTTTTCGGTAACGAGAAAAGGCGGCTGAGAGGAAGGGGTGGAGGGAATCGAAAGAAACGATCAACCGCGGCGGAGTTCGCCACCCCTGGAGGCCGCGGCGCCGCCACTCGGCGAGGGTTGAAATTCAAGATTCGGAGAACCACTGACTATTATCTCGGGCTCTTTCTCGCTCCTCGCATCGAGTATAGGTCTCTCCACCTCCCTCCGCTCCCCCCGTCATTCGTGCATATTTCTCGGGTTTTCTCTCTCGACCTCGCACCGCCCCGGCCTAACCCCGCGGCTCACCCTTTCGCGGATGGAACCGGAACGCTCGGCGGAAACGAAACGATATGAAATACGATAACGTAACCGCGCCGCCATCGATCCACCTCGTAAAATGCAGATTTGGCGAACCTCGGCTTCGAGCGCTCCAACGAGCTCCCATATCGACTCGTATATCTTCACCAGCCCCCCCGCGCCTCTCCTGCTCCCTGCCTCCCTCGTCAACCGAGAAAACTGCTGATCGAAACCGCCGAATTTCCCCTCCTTTATTTTTATCACCCTTCCCCGACCCCTTTACGATTTAACGGATTTATTTGCAATTTTTTTTCGATGACGCGCCCCCGCCAAGATGGCGGACGTCTTCGGGGGACGACCACCTCGGAGGGCTGGATCGCCATCCATGGCGCGGCGTGTCCGCGGACGGGGTATAATTCGTTTATCCCGCGGTCCTCCGGGATTTCAGCCGGTGTCGAGTTAATTAGTAATTAGCGAGTTCGTTTGTTGGCACGCCGCTTCATTAGCGCGAGTACGCCAACCGGCCCCGGCGGTGATGTCGCTGCGATCGCCGTTCCACCACCTGGGACGGCTCCAATTTCCGCTTATTTTCCGCAGGCGTGGAAATACAGTTTTTCACGACAATTGGGTAATTCCGCCGTAATTCGCAGGTTCCTTCTTAAGTCCTTGGGGTAGGTGTGGAGGCGTTCGACGATCGATCGCCGGAAACGATGTCAAATTCGGGTCCCGCGGCGGAAGGGTCGAGTGAGTCTCATCCCCTTCGACGGCGTGGCCACAGATCGGTGTTTGCGGTTGCGGTCGTGGTTGATAGCATCGCGGGCGGGCGTCTAGCCAAGCCGGCCCCACCCTCCTCCTCCTCCATCCAGCGACCTTCCTCGCCCTGGGGGAGAATCCTTCCGTTCCCGTGGCACCGTGACCTAGGGCAAGCGCCGATCCTCTCCTCGAGGCGCGATAAAGCGGGACGCCACCCAAACACGTCCCTAGGGAACCCCGGGACTCCGCATCCGGCCGCGGGCGTCGACCTACCAACCTTCGCTCCACCTCGTATTTCTTTACCCTCGACCCTCCGCCGACGTATACCCTCGCCTGAAAAAGTCAATCGGCGGTATTGTCGAAGGTCTCGTTTTTTGTGGATGTCCTCGAGTTAGGATCCATCAAGTAAAATCCAGAAAAGAGCAAGCTCCGATAGGAAGAAATCTGACGTCGACCTGGCACCCTTGAAAAACTCCTTTTTTTTTTAAACCGGATTCATAAACGAGTCCATTTCGATGTGGAGGAGGTATCGAGCATCGACTTCGCATCTCTCCTCCACCTTGTCTTCCTTTTCTCGCGACTTTTCGTCGACGTTTCCCCGCCTGAGTAAAAAAGTTATACGTTTGACTTTTTTAGCCAAGATCCGCATCCTTCGAGGGGAATTCAGGAACTGGCCCGTTTCCACGTGGAGGAGGTGTATCGACCGTCGAGGAGGGATCTCCGGAGTAAAATAATTCCCCGGCAGTCAGGAGTCCTCTTCGCGCGACCGGTGACGAGTGGACGCCCTTTCAGCGGCGGCCTTTCGTCTATTTTCCCGCTCGGCGAGAGCGGCTCTGAAGAGGAGTTCTTTTTGATCTCACCCCGTTGAACCCGGCGGAAGTTGAAGGCACCGAGCGGGCCGACGCGACTGTCGATCCCCGACTGAATGTGCGGTCTCTCGCGTAAACGCCACCGAGGGTGCCCGAAAACCGCGACGCCGCGTTCGGCAACAAGTACCGGCCTCACCGACCGCATTCCCACGAGAGCGGCGCGTTAACAAGGTGCTAAACTAAGGATAACCTCCTGCCCGTGTCGCCCGTCGACCCCTAAACTGCTTAAACCTCTGCCCCAATTCCTCCCCCTCAAACGCCTTAGTCACCTAAGCGTTCTCCAACACGTCAGATTCTACATTAAAAATAAAAAAAAAATCCCTTCCCTACAGATTTATGATAAAATCCATCTAGACGCCTTAGGTTCTGGCATATGCTTCTAAACTCTATTTGCTTTCTTTTCCAAACAATTCCATGTCCGTACCATACCGTCATATGTCATCTTCATTATATTCCACAATTATTTTCCCAGGATTAATAGTTATTATAGTAGAAGAAAAATAAAAAAGGTCTTGATTTTGGCATGTGACCACGCTTTAACCTATATTTTTTATCCCACTCTAAACGTCAGTGACTAGCCGATCGAACGCACAGGTGCTACCGAGTGCGAAAATGTCAACGGTAATAAATTGTAGAATTGTAGAAATTAAAATTCCCGCAAAATTCTGAGGATATTAAAAAAACTTTCAGGCAGGGAAACTGTAGGAAAGGCGGCTTATTTTCCGAACGGACCCCTTTTTGGGTGTGGGAATTTTTGGCGCCGGGAGATATTTTTTCTCAGGACTGAAGATAGGTAGATGCAGGCATTATTGTTGGACCAACGCGGCCAAAGATACCCGAGGTCGACCCAAACGAGTCACCTGGAATCGAGGCTCTGTTAACCGACGCCGGCAGAGGCGACGCGACGCGCAGTTACGAATTTATCGAGGAATTAGCCACGGCAATCATCCTCTATCCACCCATCCCCGTATCGATACGTTTATTTCATTAACTGGCCGAGCTCGGGGCTGAAGGCTAGGTGAGCCGGCGAAATTCATTTATCAATGCGTCGCCATGCACCTGCCACAGGCACCGGGGCGACCCCCGTTTCCGCGTTCCCTGCCGCGACCCCCCGCGAAGCGAAAGCCGATAAAGCGAAATCGTTTACGCAGTAAAACTCCCTTTACCGGGGCTATTTATATCGGCGGTTAAACCGCGCCGACCGCAACGCAGCCGCCGGACTTTCCGGGGATCCCGCGGCTGCCGGACATGATTTGTCGATCGTACAAATTGGATCTCTCTCTCTCCCCTTCGAAGATCGGGAATAAAATCGACCTTAGAAACGTTCCTCGGTATGATTTCAAATCGCCATTTCGGTAATTAAATCCCAAAAGGCGGAAGTACTCGGTAATAAGTGACGTCCTGTGACTGCGGAAAGAGAATACGGGGGACTTGTGAGAGGTTAAGTCGGTAATTTCTAATGTTACGCTACGGCCACCTTTGAAGGGGATTCCGGGATAATGTCGAATCCGCGAGAACGGTACGATTAATCCGCGGCGAATGCCGGCCGGCCAAAACGCACCCCCGCGGCCGGCCTGCGGTCGCACGCAAATTTGCGTGTCGGCACGGGCCGCGGGCCAAACGAGCCGGCCGGAATTTCGCGGTTTTGGTTTACTGCGTAATTGCGCGTTTCGACGGGCGAGCCCGCTGCGCTGATTCCTTTATCGTCCGATATATTGCCAATTATCGGCGAGCGAGGTGGCCCGCTCGCGCATTCCGCGAGAACGGCCCTCGTTACGCCGCGTTAATTGCGCGCGACCGCACGAGATGGCGCACGCCACGCGTCTCTCTCGCAAGCGACGTGACATCGTCCGAAGAAGACACGTCACCAGCTCGCTTGTCAACGTTTCATACATTTCGCGGATAACGCCCTCGAGATGCCAAGGTTCGCTCCCGGGGGTTGCGGAATCCCGAGGGACGTTACGGAACGCGTAATCTCAGGAGGGTCGGTCCTCCGGTCTGTGTGTTAGGGTCTCTGGGGCATGGCCAAGGATCGTAACGCCTCAACCCCGAGGTCGGAGGTCGGCTTTATCCTCGCCTTAGCCTCGTCCTACTTCCCTTCCTCCACCTTTCGAAACCTGCGCTACAAATCCCCGAAGGAGGGTCGTACTTTTTTTACGCCTTCGTCGAAGGGTTCAACCGGTGGTTGAGGATCCACCCCATCTAGGGGAGGACATGGGATCGCCCGATCATGGTCGGAGGTGGTCGCCGACCTCCGGGACACGAATGGTGCCTTAAGATCATAAATGTTGGTCGACTCAGATCGATTAAACAAGATTCGATTAAATCGACGTGAATTTCTCTCCCCAAGAAAATAATTGTTTCTTGCAGTTATGATTCAAGTAGCATATATATTAACGATATGTATATTTCTTTCGGTGAAGTACAGTAGACTACCGTATGACGAGTTCCGACAACGCGAATTAATATAGCACGTAATGCATTAACCGCGTTATACCGTAATCGTTATTTTCTCAGAGTAGGTCGACTTTATACGACCCTCCTCAGTTCCTCTTTCTAGGTCGTCTAAAGAGCGCCACGAGCCGTGGAATCGAGATCGCTCGGTGGAACGTCCCGAAAAAAATGGAGAAGCCTTCCCTCCTAGGGGTGGTCCCGGCGTAGGGGTGCAACGCGGCGGAAGGGGTAGACCAGCGGCAGACGACGGCCGCGGGGGCGGTGACCGGCCGCCAACGCGAATCAATACCCGCAGGAACAGGAACCACCGAGCACCCGAGACCGCCGCCGAACGTGGGAGGCACACACGCAGCCGTGAAAGGAGCCGTGGAGGTGCCATTAAGCGCGAGCATCCCGAATAGGTACCTTCGAACCCCTTCGAGCCTTCCGGAGGGCTCGCAAACCCAAATGCCCCGCAAGCGGCCGAGACGTCGCGTGTCCTCCGCGCGAGCGTCACGCATGCTGCGCGACCGGCCTTGGTGATCACGTGTTGCATGCGGAGGGAACCCCATTCCGAGAGTGACGAACGATATCTAGTTCAAGACTATGGGGTTCTTGCTCTTGCATTCTGGGCTTGGTCCCCAATTATGGTTAAGTATTGGTCTTACTCATAAATGATGCACTTTTGGAAAGACCAAGTCGAAGTCGGATTTTTCTCATGCGATGAGACAATGCATACTTGCACTTCCCGCAAGACCAGGATTACCGGACTTGCACTTTTTGCAAGGTTGGAAGACCAAGACCTCGATTGTGCCCATCGCCATATTCCGGTCGTCGCTTCCGTTCCGACCTCATTTTCGCCTCCACCCCTGCGTTCTCCACGGGCGACCTTGACGGTCGCCGTGGAACCCGCGCCGCACGGTCTGGCGAGTCCTGCCGGTCGCGGGTAGGAAGCGATGGGCTCTTTCACGGAGTCCAGCAACGAGTGCACTCGCGTGCACCCAACGTGAACACTCGATACGGCAGACTGGTTCGCCCAGTGACCTCGCGGGCTCGCACTTGGCTGCCGCCTCGAGTCGACTCCACCGACCGAGAGGGAACCAAGGGCCGACGGAGGGAACCGCATTCCTGGCCAAGGCTCAACCCTCCGTCTCCTTCGCTCTCGCTTAGCTCCCTCTGGGAAGAAAGCGAACCTCGCGACGGCTCGCCAGCCCGGGTCTAGAGTGTCTCTGCCACGGCGTCGCGCCTCCCGAAGGACGGGTGATGCATTCGAAAGAGGAAGAGGGACGCCAGGCGTCGCGCCCCGATTCCCAGGTCGGAGGTGGCGGGACTTGGTCGACCTCCAATATGTTATGGCTCCTGAGGTTATGGCAGGGGCCATGCACCATCTAGACGGACCAGATCCGACCGAAACGAATTACTTCCTGTGGACGACGCTTTGCCATGTCCGACCCGACCCGACCTGACACGTACAAGACGCGACTATTAGAAGTACCACGGTTTTTCGGTCGGACCCAATCTAGTCCAGTTTGATCGGTAACCGTAACCTAAGACCGATTATTTACGACTTGAGTCCTTTTTTCCAAGGTGGAGCAAAGGACTGCACTTGGATATCTGATTCCTCCTGGATTACCCTTGTCAGCGCCTCGACTCGGAGAATCCCTGCCCCCTGATAGGAGCAACATCCCACGCGATAAAAAAAACGAAACAAGCGTCCTCGCCCCGTTCCAATCCTCCCAAGGAACTTCACCTCGTGGGATGGATTCACGCGTGACAAATGGTTACGACCTGGCCGATTTAACGTCCCGCGAAACGAGCATTTCCCGCGATGCATGAACCACGCTCTGTTTAATCCAAGGAATGTTTTTTCCCGCCTACCGGACGAGCGAAGTTGCATATCCGAGGCGTGCATCGGCAATTTTTTTTCTTCTTCTTATTATCTTTTTTTTTTCTCATCCGGAAACGCACGTCGCGGTTCCATCCTCGAACACGGTCGCAAAAACCGAGGTGTCCAACTAGGTCGCCGCGACGATGCTCAGGTCGATACGAAGGGTTATTTATACTCCTGCTACCGTACGCCGTGCCCATTTTTCATTCTTCTCTCTGTTTTCTCATATTTTTTTTCCTTCTCTCCAATTTTTAACAACAGTCTAGGCACTCGCACGCGTTTCAAACCCTGATCGATACCGGGCAGATATCCTACCGACGTCCGGACCGACGGACGCATCAAAGCGAGACCCGAACGAGTATTAATAAAAGTGGACGATTTTGTTCGCGGCCTAACGAACGAAGGCCGAGTGATTGATCGTCCCTCGGATGAAATATTTTCTCAGCGCGATAACTGATTGTTATTCCAAGCCCGGGGATTAATAGCGTCGTGACGTCCGCCAGGCAGGAGGCCGTCATAAATCGAGGGCGCGTTACACCCAGTGGCAGGATTCACCGAAACGGAATACATCTCAATAAATATTTCCCATTGTGCGGCGGGATTTATGTCCTTGCAAGGGACAATTATGGGGTCGGAAGAAGGATAAGGTGGAGGAGGTGAAAGGATCCAGGAATCGCCGCGGTCAGAATCAACGCCAGGGCGAGATTTTCCCAGGAAAAAGGATCATGAGAACGAATGGAGAAGGAGAAACTAGGGGTTATTCCCTCGGGAAATTATGATTTTTAATACTCGAAGTCACCTGGAAATCCTGCGACGAAATCACTGATAAAAATTCCCTTGTCAATTTGCATACTCAGTCATTGGTTAGTTTAATGCCGCAATAAATTGCAGGGAAGTTCGATCGTCTCCGTAATACCGCATTCGGTATCTAAGTTGAGTTAAAAATAATTATAATATAATATTACATCTAATTCAAGTACAAAATGCAATAATACGGTAAATATACGAAGTCCCGTGTATTTATACATCTTCTAATTTGTAATCTTTCGATTTTACGCTTTTCTATGTAAACATTTCATTAATGATGTATGTAAAAATGAATGTATATTTCCATAGATTTTTATCAGTATTGTCAGAATTTCGAGGTCGATCGTCACGGTGCCGCTCATCATATGAAATGAAAGGCAGTCGGTTCTCGAAGAAGGAAATCGTTTTCACTGATTTCCGAGTGTAAATCCCTTCGGTTAGGGAGACGGAGAAACCTTTGTCTTCGCTGTTACCATGGCGTCGTCAATGTACGTCCCGAAGGACATCCACGGCTGCAAAAGGAAAAGGTCGACTCGGAGGCCGAGGAACGCTCCGCGACTGCGTTTCGCGTCGGTTCCGCCTTGAATTAATCGAGTAAGGTATCGATTCCGAAACGGAGACCCTAACCCGCTCCATATATCGAGGTCAGCCTAGAGTCCGATTATAGCCAATGAACGTCTAAATCCGTTCGATCCGTTTCTCGCAGCGACCTCGGGGAAAAGGATCCGAGGTTTTGGCGAAACCTAGGAGCCGGATCGACCTGGAAGAGTCTCAGAAGAAGAGGGTCGCTCGATGTCCAAAGGAATCCAGGAATGCGACACTAGGCACGGTGCTGGCCCGTAATAATAACCCAGCGAAAGCGATACGCCCGAGAAACTGGAGCGTGCCGTTGATACCGGCGTGTTTGCCGATAACCAGAGCCCGAGGAACGATAACTAGCGTCAGCTCGAAACGCTCCCAGTTAAGGAAAGTCAATTCCCAGTTAAGGGAACATCGACTCCCCGATCAGGAGAGCGTGGTTGCGAACAACGAGGACATCCAGCGGCACCAGGGACAACATCCAGTTTTAAATATCGTCATCGGCTGGAGAACGCTTCCAAGGACGCTCAAAAAATTACGTCCATCCAGAGCCATTAAAATTCAAGATGGAGGACTCGTGACTTCCCGTTAAAGGGAGTATTCCAGATATCCAGGGACGCCGGCAAAGAGAAGAGAGTACCCAGGCAACGACTTCCCCTTTGAAATCTTGTCGCCACCCTGAGAGCGTTTATCATTATCAGACATTGAAAAAGAGCCTTGTCCATCCAGAATTTTTGTCAACCCCTGGAGGGCGTTTCTAGATATTTAAAACCCCATGGGGGGTGAAAATGTAGAGGTCGCGGCACTCACCATGGACACGACCGGCGGTGGTGGGTTTCCGTTCCTGAGTGATCCCGGTTGCTGATTGGCCGCGGGGTTGAGATTGTCCTTCGCCTGCTGCATCGGGTCCGGGTGCAGGGCCTGTTGCTGCTGCCCCGGCTGTTGCTGGTGTTGCTGGAGCCCTCCGATCCCCGCCTGAGGACTGCCGAGTCCCGCGGGTGCACTGTCCGGCGTGCTAACTTGACGGGCGATCTTGCGATAACTCTGAAACCAAAGGACGTCGTTTACACCGTGAGATTCGCCTTTCCAGGCCGCGGGAAGACCATTCCCAGGGATTCCGGAGACCGCCCCCGGTGTCATTTATTTACGCCAATGCAAATATCGCTAAGAGAACCCGGGGGAATGGATTTCAGCCGAGGTCGACTTGGCACTTCGTATCGTTTGCGCGGAAATATCCTTAAATCCCGCGCTAAGTAGAGGAGGCGTCCTGGACCCCGAAATCAAAGTACCTCTCGGGGCTTCCAACGATTTCATTGCGAGTACTAATCGGCATTTTGCATGCACACGGCGACAAAGGGTCCACCTCTCCGTGTAATTTATTCACGCGTACCGCGTGCGAATGAATATCACCGATGACATAAACATCTCGGAGAGCCTAGTAAAAGCCGCCGTTATGCAAAACAGCCAAAGGATAAAATTTCACTCATACGGGGGGACACTTGCATCACGGCCGGGTTTTCGAGTCGTTTACACGCGCAATTAACGCGCTAATGAATATTAACGATCGGATTAACATAGCCCGGGGTACCGGCGACCGGTGTAATTGAAAATAGCGAAAGGGTAAAATTTCGCGCGACGCTCTCGGCGCGAAGACGCTCGTTTCTTTCATTTTTTTTCCTTCTCTTCTCCCTCCTTTTTTTTTATTTCCCGAGTAATTCCGTAAACAGGAAAAAAGGAACGGGGAGGATTTAATCCTCGGTGTCGCCGGCGGGATTAGAAACTCGAGGTTGCGACGATTTGGAGACAGGGGGTCGCGGAGAAATAACGAGAGAGAGAGAGAGAGGGAGAGAGCTGACCAGGACGCTTTTTTCGAAAAGGAAGGAGCTAGCAAAGTGCTAACGCCACGCCGGCGTGACCCTAATACTAAATATATCCACGTGGTCTAAGTAGGCCGAGCCGGCTGAAACCGTTTTCCATAGTTCGAAGCCTATGCCCGGTATATCGAGCAGCCTTAACTTTATGCATTATTTGAAAAACGAGCGACCCTCGCCAATGGCGTCCACGCCGGATCGAATCCCGGCAGGAAATTATTCACCTCGGTAATCGATTACTCCTCGAGCGAGTAACCCCCTCTGGCGGCCTCGAATTAATCCCGGACCGAGGGCCGCGATTAAAAATGATTTAAAAAATGTAGAGCCCACGCACAGGACGAAACGATCGGACATAACTTTTTTATCCGCGAAGCGGCAAAAAGTGGCGAAATTAAATCGCGCCGTTTCTTTCCCACGGGGTTTGATGTTAGGCCTCGATAAAACGGCCACGAAGAGAGCCGAGCCTTTTAATTTCAATCTTATCGGATTTAGAAATTGGAACGAGGCGCGCGGTCCCCTTGATTGTGGACATTTTTTACGAGGCTCAATTTTTCACGAACCTCGCCCCTCAAGTCCTTGGATATGAAACTCGAAGGCAAGTAGAGCTTCTATTTAATTCTCACGGATTGCGGGTTGTCATCTTCGGGTCTCTCCGAGAATACCTCCGAGAATAAACCGCTCATATGACACGTCCGTCAAATTGAGGACACGCGAGACATCCCGACGTAAGCCGGCTTTATGACGAAGATTTAACTGCCCCGAAACTGTCCGGCATAGAAAAGAGAAAAGAAACCCGCGACATCCAATCTCGAGTCCAGAATGAGCAATTTCTAAGCACGCGCTCCTCGTTAAATAAGGACACCGGTACCGAGATAATTAAATTAAAAACACCTACTAATGTATTAATCCATCCGAATCATCGATTCTCGTTCGCATAACAGCTGCCGTTATAAAATAGCGACATTCCAGCCTTCCCTCGCTCCCAAGCAGGAAGTATTATTTTCCCGAAGGCCCCAACGTACGCTCAATAATTCATGAGTAGTTGCAAGCTGTTATTAAAAATCTACAAGTTGAAAGTCCACGTTTCGTCCCCACCAGATCGCCGGGGTATTTTCAAAACGCGAAGGTCTCGACGGCCCGGTATTTTTTACAATCCTCCAAGGCCCAAGAGAAGTCGCGCAGCCGGAGACTCAAGGCGAGGCAAAAACGGAGAATGCTTAAAAAAAAAAGAAAGAAAGAAAGAAAGAAGGAAAGAAAGAAAAGGAAAAGAAAAAGTGTCGAGCCGCGCAGCGTCGTTCAATGAACTTGTCGAAGCTTTCGAAACCGTGGAAGGCAATGACTCGACGGCCGTCCTGTAACGTCGTGAGTGTTTGTAGACGCACTTCGGGGTGCGCGTAGCACGCGTGAAGCGGACGTGCACGCATACAGGGACGTGTCTAATGAATTTATAAATAGGCAAGGTCTCGGACCCACGCTAAGCCTGCCGGGGGATCGGGCCTTCCACCGAATGTCCGCTCTCCTCGACGAAAAGATCTCTCCGTGCGACCAAAGGGGATGATTTCGGGAGCCAATCGGATCGATGAATTCGATCGATCGACGCGGCAAATTCGATCCATCGACCGGCGACTCTCATCGGGGCTAAAGGCGAACGTCGCGCGACGACCCTTCGAGAATCGATATCGACACGGTGACGCACCCGGCAGACGATGACGAAAAGCTAAGGGTTGCCAAGGGGAAGAAACCATGTATCGTCGATAGGACGACCTGGCCAACCCGAATCGATGTTGCTCGGTGAACCGTTATTTTCCGACCGAATTCATCTCCTCGCTAAATATCCCGTGAAACTCCCGCAGTAAGACGAGGGGATGTACACTAGGGGACATGAATGCCTTCCCATGAGAGAGGAAGGCTGGGAGGCATCCACTTGCGGGAGTGTAGTCGAGTGAAGACGTTTCCATGGGACTTTTCTACGGAGATACCTTCGGGAATATCCTCGCGAAGTCGCTCGGATTTTCGAGGACGACTTCCAGCCGGAAGCTCGGCGCTCGGTCATAAAGGGAAAGAATAAATCGAGGAACACGCGCGAGTCTCGTTTTAATAACGCCGCGGCGAGTAATGCCACCCCCGAGGAGAAAAGCCCGTTTTACGAGCTCGCGACGAGATCCGCGAGCGGGTTTTATGTCCCCGCCGGAAATAAATCCGCAGCCGCGGCGGCTAAGTTTTCACCCGGCGGCTTTAATGACGCGGAAAGCAAGAGCCCGGTGCACCTTAATGACCCGAAAGTATGGCGGCTCTTTTCGAAATTCATTAAGGTCCGGGTTCCTCGAGGAGAGCCTCGAGAATACCGAAGAGCGGGGATTATTTCAGAGCTTATTCCCGCCCGCGGAATCCGAGATTCCGATTTTCGATATCGAGCCGCTATAAACGAAGCGCGAGATTCCGGACTCAGGGACCGGACCAAGAGCCGAGGAATGATCGAAATTTTCCGCCTCGCGGGAACCGGGGGAAAAAAAAAAAAGAATTGAAATTCTAGTACCGCGAATCTCTATTGAAAGCGAGGCCCTTTGTGTCGATAATGGCCCGATTAGGGAGGGATGGAAGATACTTACCGAGAGAACGCGCCGAATGAGCCGCAAGAGAAAGGTGCGTTTCGGCGAGTTTTCCTCGGGAGAAAGAGAGAGGAAATGAAGGCCCTTTCACCCGTCAATCATCTTTACCTCGAAACGTAATACCCCTGACAGTCCTTTCGCGATGTTCGGCCACGTGGACGAGGTATCCCACTTATCCCATTACGCGTGCGGAATATATCCCGCGACCAATGGCACGGAAGTGCCGGAACACGTGGGCGCCCACGTGGCCTTCTCTCCCGAATGCATCGCATCCTGCAATTTTCCCTGGCGAGGAACCTCCTCTGGCCCATCGAACGATACCATTTCCACAACGCGACGTGTCGCTAATGTCACGGGACACGACACGGCCTGAATTCCTGAATGGCGATTGCGCAATCGTCGCAAGCTCCGCGTTTTGCCGTCGTCCGGTCCTTGGAAAGGGCCCTGAGTGGCCGCATTCGCCGAAGGCCGGACAGCGAAACGATCGCGATTGCGCAATAACCGCGGAAAAACGACGGCTAGTGCGCATTGCGTTGAAGAATTCCTCTCGAAAAAAAAGAAATCGTCCGCGCTTCGAGGGGAAGAGATTTACCCGGAGTTTCGTCGTTCCGCCGGTAAATCATCTCTAAAATCTGCGATCGATGCGCGATCGCCAACACCCGGACCGGCAAAAATTTCTCCGGGTAACGATGATAAACTTCAGGAGGTAAACATTCGCCTGAACGATCTCCGCCGAGGCTCCTCTTCATTATCAGAGATTTCCAAGATGGCGGCGCGGTATCCGCACCGGCCCCGCCGATTTATACGAGGGAACGGAGAACGCCTCGGATCTCGCGGCACGTAACCGTGGAAATCCAGAAAATCCTGGAAATAAAAGCTAACGGTAAACACGTTGGTGTTTTTCTTTTTCCTTTCTTCCCCCGCTTTTTCCGCACTCTTCTCCGTTTCCATCTCGGTCTCTCCGATTCTCTCCTACGGCGGCAATAAAAACTCACTCTCTCGGAAGGCCAGCCGGTCGAGCGGATCACGTGCCGGACTTATTCAATCCGGTCTTTGGCTCCGATTCGTTCCCGTCTCGCGGCCCGGCGCGTCTCTCTCTCTCCCGCGCGCCTCCCAATCGGCCCTCTCTCTCTCTTTCCCTCTTCTTCGCGGCGCTCGCTCGCTCGCGTCGCCCCTTCGGTTTTCCCTCTCCGTCTCGCTCGCCCGACTCTCCCTCTCCTTTCGGCGCCTCCCGCGTTCCTCCTGGCCTTCGCGAAGAGAGACTCGACACTATCGACTGCCGTTCGACGGTCTCTCTGCGCACTTCTCTTCCCACCTTGTAGATCCCGCTCTACAGGGTGTACCTACGGTCAGCTGATCGCGACCTCTCCCCGCCGGCGAGACTTTTCGAGCCGATCGATCGGGCATCGATCCATCGATTGGCGGCACCGTCACCGATCGGCGACTACTTAGTAAACAAAAACCGCTCCAACTAAAAACCATGAAATAAACGTTTCCGATAAATTCCCGCGGCTAAATTCGACAATAGATGGGGACTTTTAACAAATTCGCTGGATTTACCATC